AACGAATAAGTCGATATAGTAATTATCATGACAGACGTGGAAGTTGTCAGTACATTTCTTGTTTAATATTTTGCATATTGTGCCCACTTTCCTCCATTTTGAGCACAAAACATAGCTTCTATCATATCACATTTACAGTCACACATTACACATTTAAGAGTTTATTTCATGTGATTGGTTTACTTATTTGTTCATATTAACTATTATTTCAGCAGTGAAGTCATAAAGAGTCATTTTATAGTGTTTAGTGTATAGATCTGACCAAGGACCTTCTCGCTGCTACAAAGGAATCCAATGCCACTACACCATCAGCTTAGTTAAAAATACTGTTATTGCCAAGCTGTTTAAGCACTGGTGTATTGATTTAACAACAACATTAGAAGTAACCAGGACAATATCTTCCTTCCTATAACAAGTCATTGAATTATATACCTGCACTTTTTATATTGTGTTTTATAAGTTCTCATGACATCAATAGCTGTTTGGTGCTGGAGATTTGACATTGCGGTCTGTTCTTCTAAATCAATAGTCTCTTGGTTAGTCGCAGTTGTTAAATCTCGCCTTTGTATTATGGTCAAGGAACAAGGTTTTCTTTATGTTCACGTCAGATAGGTAGCAACTCCTGTTTGAGGTTTTGTAAAGATAACAATTTCTATCTTTTAAGAGACAGTGTTGATATAGACTATGCCAGAGAGATTTCATACTCTAGTAGAAACATACAAGTGAAGAAAACTTGAGCCATTCCCATTAAAGTCAAATACGTTAAAAAATCGATTCTGAAGCATGTTTATTGTAAGCTGAGATCGACTGATATGTTTTTTGTTAAAACTAAAGAAAATGGCTGATAAGCTTTGCCAATATTTGGGCTGATTTAGATTATTTGCCCAAATGATGTCAATTAGAATTTAATCATAAACCTATAAGAGAGCAGTTTAATCATGTTTTATGCAGTTATCGCTACACTTACCTGTTCAAATGAAGCATTATGTGTACTCTGTATGCAGCAGGTCAGCCAAAACTAAATATTGGCCTGTCTTGGAGATTTAAGGCAGATAGCTGCTCCATTAAAAAGAGCAAATATTGATCCATCAGTCTGTCTCTAATTGTAAGCCTAAAGATGCATAGGTCTTGGATACACAACTAAATGTGTGACTTTGGGGGTGTCAAAAGTGAGCCCCTACTAGTAAAAGAGAAAGCCTATATTTAAAGTAGCAGTAGAAACAAAGAGCATACAATTTGAGTTTGAGTGCAAGTAGAGGATTTTAATCAAATCAGATCAAATCATTTCAAATCATCAATCAGCTCGGAGCTTTTTAGTCGATGAAACTACAGCCGGTCTGGAGCAAATAGCAAAAAAGCACATTTATTAAAGCAAAAAGTCTTTCTTGTGTTCATAAAATACAAAACAAAAAACAAAACAAAAAAACACATGCATATACTCCCCAGTCTTAGCTATATATACGTTCTTTATTTTTCATTTTCTGAAAGAGACAAGTAAAAAAAAGTAGAGGCTTGATGTAATATAAAGGGGAGCTTGCTGTGTCAAATCCATCTCTAATCTGATGTGCAGATGCTAGCACACAGGGGCTGTCTGATGCCCCAGGCTATCGCTATCATGAGGCATCCTCCGTTTGGCAGCCTCTATTATTTATAAGTGGGCATTTTGAACTTTGGACATTATGGAGCTCACTCAGCAGCCTCATCCAAAACTCTTTACAGGCACTTATTCTTGCTGAACACTCCACATTTCAAATACTTCCTCAGGCCACAAGATTTAAGTCGCTGATGGATGGTTATTTCTTTGTGTTTTGTCTCCCAACATAGTCTGCAAGGTCCACAGAAAAATAGTATAGATGCTTATTAAGCCGCTTATATGTAAACTGAGGGAGAGAGAGTTGTTATTTATCATGCATAGGATTGTCATTCTGTGGGGTAATGTAAATGTTTGGGCAGGGATGTTACATAATACTTGAGTAACTTGTAAAGAGAGTAATAACTTTGAAGTAACAGTAATTTTCATCTACATTTTAGCCATAGTTTTGCACTATGAGCAAGCATCATATTGATTTCTATACTACTTTGGATAGAGCTTATAATTTTACTGGAGTTTAACTAAAAATAATGTTTTGAAAATACCTCAGAGCCTCAATTTGATATATGTCAAAACACAAAAAAGGGACACTTTTGTTGAGGATGAAAGAATATTGATAATGATATTAAAAAGTTAAAACGCTGAAACAAGGCAGCCAAGCAATTGCAAATATAGCGTAGGTTGTTTTACGTTTTTTATCAGATTTTATTAATAGTTTATAAATGCATTGACAGATTGTATCAATACTACATCTGAATATAAAAAACACGTCCACTGACTTCCACGTAAAAATAGAAAACTGTGGCGCTTACTGCAATGCTGCCGAATCCAACGTGTATCACCAATTAAGAAATGGGGGTTGATCGGCAAAATGGCATCTTGAAAATAAACAATTAAAGATGGCTCAAACATGCACGAATCATTTCAAATACAACTTTGGGCAAGTAAATAGTGAGAGGAAAGAAATATAACATTGTTAAAGCTCTGAAAAGTTGATTTTGCATAATAGGTCTGCTTTAACTGCTTTTTTTCCTGAATACATTTTTCTTCTTGCTACTACACTCTAGAGTAATGCTTATTTGACACTGAAAAAGGTACAGTGAAAACACTGTGCTCCAGGCATCAACACACAAAATCTGAAATGAATTATTGACTCTCTCTATATATGCATGTTTGTAAGAGGTGTCCTGGAGCTAATACCAGTCAGATGTGTGGCGCAGACAGGAGTCATCAGAGGGGCGAGAGGGAGTGGGTCTGACCCCATCTGACCCAGGACCAGCCGTAGCTTTCCCTTTGGGCTAACTTCAATCCAGAAACGCTCCACCGGCTCTGGGAGGAGATTTGGGAGCTATTATGGCAAGAAGTGTTAGTTTCTCAGTGTGAGCGTATAGATCAGAAAGAGAAAGGAAAGGAATTGTAAAAGGGGGAGGCGGTTGTCAAGGAAAGTAAAACATGTATAAGTATAGCGCTGTACTTGTTTTCCATAGACTCCCATGACTACATGTGTAATATACCGTATACTTTATTTTTACAACAAAAGTCTAAATATTTCATCCCAAATTGGGCAATAATTTGAATGATGTTTGAAGTGATGCTATATTGTAAATAATTTTTCTGGTCTGAAACATATAAACACTAGCTTCAGCAACCATCTCCCTCTTCACCTCGTCTGCTCCTCTGTCCCTCTGTCCTCATGCATCACAGTTCATTTCCTGACTGGGCTGGCTTAGGGAGAGAGGGGGGGTTATGGTATAGCAAGACTTTTAGAAATGGCTAACACCCATCTGAGGCATCCTAAGACACCCACATAATACAAACATTTAAAGGACCCATATTATTACTCATTTAGTTAATTTCAGCTCTGGAATTGTCACTCTCTACTGAACTAAAGGTAAAAGGTAGCTGTTTACACAACAACTACTGCTTCATGACATCACAAGGTGGAAGAGAGCATTTTGAGTTTTGAAGATGTAGACAGACTAATAACAAAGGGTTTCTCAAAATGTGTGAATGAAACAAAACTCAACTCCAGGTATGTTTTTGATGAGATAACAGCATTCTAACATGACTAAAAGCTCACAAGAGACAATTTTGTGTAATATTGGACTTTTAAACATATGAACACAATATTGTTTAAAATTAGACTGAAAACTCCCTTAAATAGGCTGCATACATATAACTTGCAAAAAAAAAAAAAAAAAAAAAAAAAATCTAAACTTCCCATAGTTTAAAATGATGAGCAGATGAAAATTCTGTGGTAGAATTTGTTTTTGAAATGTGTTATTGCACATATTTCGACCTGGTTTACACTTAATATTCTTGTAATACACAAAAATGCCAAAATAAAACTGGCTCTAGAGCTGCTCGATTATGGAAAAAATCATTATTGTGGTCAATTTTGAAATCACGATTATTCAGTCGATTATTATTATTTTTATTTTATATTTTTTTTATTTATTTTCTCGATTAGTTACACAATGCATTTATTCTGCATTTCTCTGTCTCAAAAAAGAAAAAAAAAACCCGCTTTGTTTTCAAATTAAGAATAAATATAGGCTACAAATAAGTACCTTAGAGTAGTTTTGCGATGTATAAAAATGAATAAAATATACTTTCAGCATGAAATAAGGCATAGAAAAACACAAATGTATTTAAAATAAACTATATATCTACAAATAAACTATATATCTAAAAATAAAATAAATATACTTATTTACATTCAATAATGATATCCCAAAATAAACTTTGTTAGGCTTTATCGTTTCAACTCGATTATATGAGTTTGGAAATAATTTGACACACAAATTGAAATCACGCTCAAAATTTGATTAATTGCACAGCCTTAACTGACACAATGCTTAACCTCTTTTCTGTTTGCTCAAATTAAATACAATTTTTTTGTTTGTTTGTTTGTTTTAGTTGTTTGTTTTCTGTTAATCTATAACTAAATATTGTTGCAGTATAAGCATGTTGTTTAGAGCTATTTCTTCTGTTAAACGATGTCAATTAAGTAAAGTTAAGTTGTTTGTGAAAATTTAATATTGAAAAATAAATAAATAAATAAATTTAGGTTGATCAGTTCAAGGAAAGGAAATTGTGATTACAGTTTTTTGCCGTATCACCCTGCTCTATATCGTGGACACTTAGACATTGAAGGAGATGTTTGTAATATGTTGTAAATATAACATCTTCTTGGCCTCAGATGCTCTTGCACCAGTGATGAAATCCTGATGAAAACACTAAGTCCCAGGAGATGTGAGAACTGTGATAAACTTGCAGGAGTCTTTTTTTTTTTGCTGTTTCCAACTCTATCTGCTGCTGTCAGGCTGAATAATGTTTCCCTCCCTCTCTCCCCTCCCTCCCTCTCTCTCTCTCTCTCTCTCTCTCTCTCTCTCTCTCTCCACTGCAGTGTGGATGTACGGCTTCACCGACAGTCCCAGGAAAGAGGCCTCAGGTACTTCCGTGTGTCTCCTCTCATATTCTGTACTGTACAATACGACTGCTGCTGCTGCTGCTTTAGTGAGGCAGGCTGGAGAGACTTAATGCTCTGTGTGGTTGATTTGAACTGTGGGAGTGCAAAATGGAATGTGCATATACCTCCTGGGATTGCTATTGGTACTGTGAAAGCTCAAGTCATAAACAGACTATATGAAAATTATGACTAAAGCTGGAAAATAGACCAGGACTAGAATAAGACGAAATCTATATATGGACTGAACTTGGCTCAAACCCGGACCAAAACAGGGCAAGTGTGAATGCACCCAAAGTTATCTGGAAGTTTGTCTCAGCATTTATGGAGTTTCAGTGGAGAGTTGGCAAGATTTAAAGGTGCAGTATGTAAATGTTTTGGTTTGGGGTTCGCCCCTGCTTGTTTCTATGGGTATGTCATTGCTTTGCCTTGATTGTTCCACAGTATGACATTAAACAGCTCTACATTATATTTATTAAATTACAGGTGGTTTTATTGCTCAAAAATACCTAGAAAAATAGGCATTCTGACTGTGAGCAGGTTGCCTCTCCGCAGATCTGACCTGTAACTTGGTTTGGTTTGGACTCCATGAAGGTTGAAAGCTTAATACCATACTGTGAAACATTCCATATAAAGCATTAACATCTCCATGGAGAAAAGAATTTGACGGATCCTCCACCAAAGAAGTTACACAATGCACCTTAACTCACATTTACATTCAATTAAAGTCAAATTACCTTAAAATTTTTTGCCATGAACTATTGTAAGAAAAGTTGTCAACATACAAGTGTACTTTGGACAATGTATATTTTGATTGAAAATGTGAACATGTACCTAAGTCTATTAGATAAATATATGACCTAATAAACCTTAAAAAATTTAAAGCACTCAGCAACCATACGCCACTTGCAAAAAAAAATAAAATAAAAAAATCATGCCTAATTCTGAAAATTGAAAACAACAGATTGTAATTTGCACAGTTAGAGCAGAATTTGTCACTACCTCCCAAGTGTATATTGCACAATGCATTTTATGGAGCATTTTGAAAATATATCCAACTCTACCCACTGAAACTGTAATTTTCAAACTCTATCACTAATCTAGACATCTTTTAGGGAATTCAGTTTGGTCAGTCCCATGCCTCCTCTTCATACTAACACACTAAAATACCAACTCTTCTTGCTCTTAAATTGACTTCATTTTCCACTTCAGCACTTTGCCCATATGTTCTTTGCATGTGCTCATCTTCTCCATCTGGTCAAATCCTGCCTTTTCATCTCCCCATCAATCCCCATAGACTCCACTGGCCAAGTCAAACTGCACATGCACCAGTGAAGAAAGACAAATCAAGTCTCAAGTAGAAAATAACCTTTAAATGCATGCTTTTCAACTTACTTTGGTTTTGGTGAACCATGACCAAGCAAGTCCAAATTGAAAACTACCCACCAAAGAATAGCCTGTCTCAGAGATGTAAACAGAAATGACACAGAGTGACACATTGGACCATCTGGTGGGAATTTGCTATGTTATGTTGTGTTGAAAAGCTGACAGAGAATTCATCTTAACAAAAAGATTAGCAGGATAGTTTAGAAACAAAATTATGTTGTCACTTTTTATTCAACTTTTGAATTCATAGCTAACATTACAGCTGTTTATTTATCAAAATATACCAGTTTCGTGCTGCACTAAATGCAAAGCAAGATATGATGTTAAAATGTAAATAAGCGTGATGTAATTTTTCTCCTGGGGGTCTGCTACCTGCTTGTCTCCGTGGAGATGTTACTGTCTGGAATGTTTCACAGTATGGCATTTAACTTTTTAACCTTGCATTTATTCAATTACAGTTGTTTTATTGCTCAAAAATTTCAATTTCTTACAATGAATGGACTCACTTTTCCAGAGATCCGACAATGTAGTTTGGCCTGGTGGTGTCAACTGCTTGTTTCCATGGAGATAGTCAAGTTTCATGCCATAGCTGTGGAGACAAGCAGGTGACATACCCTTGTCCAGAAAAGTTACACAAGTTAAATAAAAAGAAAAGTCAGTCTAGTCAGTCACCTGCTTGTCTTATTTATTGCTTTGTCAGTAATGTTCCACGGTTGAGATTAAACCTCTAGTAACACAACAATATGCTGCATTATAAGTCAGATCTGTGGAAAGACAACCCAGTTCACAGAGAGAATTATCTTTTTGGTAAATTTTGCGTTTTGTTTTGTCCCTCTAGGCAGTTAAGTCAGTAACACAATAGATTATATGTTTATGCCTTTAGAGTGGGTACTATGTTCTGCTCATTTTATTGGACAGTGTAAAGCTTGTTGATGCATCTCAGTTAGTTTATAACCTGAGGCTGACTCTCACTGCCCGGTGCAACTAGGCATATTACGGCTGTTTACTTTTCTCCTGCATTTGGCCTAAAGAATACACAGGCGACGCCCACCAGGGAAGCAGAGTTACAAGCTTTCCTGGAGATATGGGCTGAATACTGTAAAAGCAACAGATTAAGTACTGTCGGCAGCCTGTTTTTCTCACGCTGACTATTCTCCATTATTCAAGAATCAGAGGGGGATTTTAATGTGTGCACAACCACGTGAGATACACTTAAGTAAAACTATATTAAACATATATGTCCGGGTTATGTAATGCACCTTTAAAGGGCCCGTATTATGTTATTTTCTGATCTATGTTATAATGTTGCTTCCTCATCATCTCAAAGGAAAAACACTCTGTTCCACTTTGTGATATTATGCAACAATACAGGAAGTGCTCTGCTGTGCTTTTAAATCTCATAAACTTTCACAAGAAAAGGTAAAATCGTAACTGTTATCTTGAAAACAACCACTTCATGACATCACATGGTGGAACAAAGCATTTTGAGCTTTGGAGATGAAGACGGATAATAATAAAAGATTACTCAAACATGTGTGAATGAAACAAAACACCACTCCAGATGTTTTTCAGGAGATAACAGCATTATAACATGGCTTAAAGCTCACAATAGTCAGCTTTGCGTAATATATGACTTAATAATGTGCTTTTAGTTGATCACTGGTGCATTGTAAAATATAACAATATTTACTCCTCAAATATGCTGAGTGACTTTTCAATTTGTTTCCTTTCCAACCCAGCAAATGTAGTAAGTATTGTTAAAGGTCCTAAAGCTGTGTTTTGTTTCATTCCCACATGTTTAATTATTATTTTATTATTATTATTATTAATCTGTCTGCATCTACAAAGCTCTTAATGCTCTGCTCCTGCTCTGCTGTTAAGTAGAGATTGGAAATTCTAGGGCTTAAATTATGCAATTGATTCATGTGAAGGTGTACGGAGTTAAAAACACAGTGGAGCACTTCCTGTATTACCACAAGATGGAAGTGTTTTCTGTTTGAGAGAAGAACTAAATCTGCAGGATTTCTGTGTTAGACATGTGTGAATGAAACAAAGCACAAGTCCAGGTTTGTTTTTGAGGAGGAAATAACATTGTAACAGAAAATAGTGTAATATTGTAGTAGAATTGCAGTAATACAATTTTAGTATGTGGACCGCTTTTAGCCTTTACATTCTCATCTATTGAGCTAAGTTTACCATTAGTCATCACCTGTGTTTGTTTATCGTGCCATATGTAATTGCAAAAAGCATTCAGATAAGCTTCAGTGTTCAGCCAGGTGCTACCCAGGCCTCCAGTCACGTATAGCTTCATATAAGCATGACTGACTTTGGCAAGATGTGAATTTGCGTCTGTATGTTTTTATGATTTCACCTCTCCCTTTTCTGTCTGCACGCCTGATACTAGCTCTGTACTCCAGAAATTGGTCCTCAAAAATCAAACTGAATGTTATCATCTGGAGTTGTTTGTGCACCAAAACAGACTAAAGTTTTATCTGTTTGTTGTCTTGTAATGTCATCCAGGCCATTCTGCAGAAGTGAGGCTGGGAAATTATAACAGTTAAATGCATTTTGGGTTTTGGGATGGTCTTTTGAAACAACAATACCTACCATAATAGTTTCAGGCTTACTTATCATCCCAAAATGATTTTATTTTTGCACAATTTCACGATAGTTAAGGTACATTTGAATTGTATTTTCACTAGGGTCAAAACTATTCTAATCGATATTAAAACTAGTATTGAACCTAGATACTCATTTGAACAAGCATCAATACTAAAAAAGTCACATTCACAGGACAGAAACAAACTTTTCCTGAATAACTTTAGAATGATCTTGAGCTGTATCAGAGCAAGTGTAAGAGCACATAGACTAGTATATGCCCATAGAACACAATGGAACCTAACTGGATTACATAAATATAACGCCAGATGGTAATATAATAAAAGAAAGTACATATGATTTAATGTTGAAAGTTGCATTCTGTTGTCTATTGTCTATGCATCAAAACACACATTTTCACTTTGTCTTTAATAGTTTTCATTTAATAATAGATTTGCATTAACCTACATTCAGAATCCGTGTATCATTTGTTCATTTGTTTTTCAATATAAAACCAAAAATAAGAAAACAAAAAAATAACAGTTTTCTTCACTATTTGTCTTCAAAACCAAAATGAATAAACGGATAACGATTCGTTTTCTCGGTTTTCGATTTTGTGTTTAAATGAAGAATGAAAAAAACAGATAACAGCCGTTTCGTGTTTTCGTGACTTAAATTGCGATGCCGGACTTTTGTGCCGCATACACACTGAACCAGGACTAAACCAGGACTAAACCATTTTCAGTCCCGGTCTCAGTCCCGGTCTGGTCCTGGTCTGGTCCCAGGCCTGGTCCCAGTCTCACTCGCGGTCTGAATCACGGCCTGGTCTTGGTCTGATCCTTGTCTGGTCCCAGTCTAAGTCCTGGTTTCAGTCCCGGTCTGGTCGGACCTGGTTTAGTCCTGGTTCTGTCCATATGTGGCGCAAAAGTCTGGCATCGTAGTTTAAGTCATGAAAACAGGAAACTGCCATTATCTTTTTTTTTTTTTTTTCCATTTTTCATTTAAACACAAAATCGAAAACTGAGAAAACAAATCGTTATCCGTTTTTTTCATTTTGGTTTTGGAGACAAATAATGAAGAAAATAGTTGTTTTTTTGTTTACTGATTTTTGGTTTTATATTGAAAATTGAATGAGCGAATGACACACGGATTATTCAGTCCATTCTTTGTCTCAAACAGTCGGCATTAAACTTTTGTATCGTTATGGAGCAGGTCTGTGGGCACCTGTCAGTCAGGTCATTTTTTTTGTCTTTACTTTAATAAATACATGATAGATATATTTAATGCCATACTGCAGAACACTCCTGGCACACTCTTCATCAAAATTACACAGTGCACCTTTAAATGACTAGATTAGTTTGCAGCCACAATTGTCTAATATCTGATTATTCCACAGGCATCATACAAGTTAATGCATTTGTTTATATCAAATGAAAATACCCTTTTTCAGTAGTTACTTTTTAATGACCATCCTCACCACATTGGTAAACCATGGGGCCAAGCAAAATGTCAGCTGCTATTGACTCAGAATGTTTTTTTAATATTGTTTTTTATATGAGTATAGCAGAACAATAAGGTGCCAAGGTCCTCAAATGAACTTCCTTATATCATATTTAGACTTCTCGGGTCACCAATAGCAACAGCACACAGCTTAGTTTCTTTGAGAGCGGCATGAGTCATCACTACTTTGAATCAAATCAGTTTGTCTGCAGCCTGTGAACTTTATAAAGAGGAAATAATAACACTGTATTGAAAAAGGTTAATGTCAGAAGTTCAGATCTGCTTTGACCTAAGCATAGTGAACTTAAACAAATACCCAGCCTCACTCCCGTGCTCTTTAGTCCTCTTTCTGAACCCTTTTTCTTCTTTTTCTTCTACTTCTCTCTAGTGTAAATAGTGAAAATAGTATGTAATGTAAACACTTGACTTTATTTTTTATGTAAATAGCACGAGGTGTGGATGAAATTGAATGCAAAATGTTTTTGATGGACACAATAATGGTCTGTTAAAAATCTAAATCTTCTCTCTCTCTCTTGCACTCTCTCTTTTGTTCAGTTTCCTTACAACCTCTCTCCTCTCTATCCCCTCTACTCATTCTCTCCTCCATACCTGTCGATCTTTTTCTTTCTTTCTCTCTCTCATCGCGTCTCTCTTTCTCCTCTCTCTGTCTAAGCTGCTCCTTTTTCTCAGTTTTTTCCTCTTACCTTCTGTCTCCCTTCCTCTGTCTCTCCCTCCCTATCTATCTCACTTTCATTCTGTCTCTCATTTTCTCTCTCTTCTTTCTATCGTACTTCCTTTAACTCTCCTCTCTCTCTTTCTCTGTCTATCCCACTATGTTTCTTTCTTGTTCTTCACACCTCTCTTACTTTCCCTATCTCTCGCTCTATCTCCTTGTTTGTTTCACTTGCAGTCTCCCTCTTATGTTATTTTCCTCGCACCTTTGTCCCCCCGTTCTCTCTCTGATCTTCTCTCTTCTTTACTCTCTCTCCCTTATTGTATCTCCTATCTCCCTCCCTCTCTCCCTCTCTCTCTCTCCCTGTGTCTTTCTAGTCCACTCATATGTTTCTATTTAAGGCCAGCGGTGGTTAGCGTGCGTTCACCCCCCTCCTCTCAAAAGCCGTTGAGGGGAGGCACTGTTGATTTTCCACAGGCAAAACTTCACTATTCTTCTAGCCATTCCCTCTCAGTTTTCCCCTGCCAACAACCCCGATATCTTTATCCCAATTGGACTTTTTGATAATGAATATACTTTAAAATGGAAATGGATCTCTTAAGGAACCGTTTTGACTATTTTAAACTTTTATTTTGATGTCAATGCTTCCCCTTGCTTCAGTATGGGAGGGGGACTGACTCTACTATGTTATGACCAAACTTTTGGGACTATGCCGGCTGCAAGTTGCGAGATCTGATTGGTCAGGAGGGTCGCCATGGCGTTGTCCCGGGTCCACGTTGTTGGGAGCAGCGGTGGGAGTATTATGGGATGCAGTGGTCGCCCCAAAGGGAGATGGCTCACGGCATGTTTTTACCCCTCAGGTATTGACAACTCTGAGCCGATGGTCCTGGAGCAATATGTAGCGGTGGCCAACTACGAACGCCAGGAAAATTCGGAAATTAACCTAAAAGCGGGAGAGACTGTGGATGTCATCGAGAAGAGCGAAAGTGGTGAGTGGAACTGACTTCTGATTTATTGCAGTGACAGTGACATGCGTTTTCAAATACCGCAAAGGAAAGCCAGATTGTTGTGGTTTTGAGTCTGAGTTGCGAGTTATCTTGACTTTGTTAACTTATGAGCGAGAGAGCTGTGAGGGACTTCTACTTTAGTGTTATTGTTTGTCTATGTGAAATGATAGATTTATAGTTCAAGAATAGGTTTGGTCGTAGTAGTAGCTGCTGTAGAACTTGTACTAGTAATAGGAGTTGTAGTAGTATTAGCCTAGTAGTTCTTGGAGTAGTAATCATTTTTAATAGCAGCAGTAGTTAGTAGTTATAGCATCTACTTTTTCAACTGTTTTTGTTGCAATTTGTGGTGCAAGTTCTTACTTATTAGCCTAACTCATAAATATACAGTTGAAAGTGTAACTTCTAAAAAGTTATTCTTGGTAGTATTGTTAATATCTGAAATATTAAACAATTTGTGGTAAAAAGTAGCAGTTGGCTTAGTATTCACACAATACTTGGCTTGGACTGAGTATGTCATAAGTTCATATAACATCGCTGCTACACTGAAATGAAGACTAGACTGTGCTGACATTGCTTTGTTTACAGCTATTGGTATGTCCCTTCAGGGTTCCCATAGATGCTATATATAAGCTATGAACAAGATAATATGGTTATAGTTTGTTTTGGTTGAGCGCACAGTAAAACAATATAAAACACGCTAATATCGTAGAATAAAATACCCATACATAGACATTAATCCTCCATTGTCCTCCCCCTCCCCGCTGAGTCCCCTGCTGTTTGGCTCCTCACTGCTCGCTCTTGTCCAAATGTTGTAATCTGCTGAGGCTTGGCACCACCTGGAGGAGCTGTGTATCTGGCAGAAGGCACCATGTTTTCATGTTTATGTGGAGCTTAATGCAAAAAGCCATGGAACAACTAAATCTGTAAGCTTTTCTACTACATACTCTGAAAATGTTTGATTGGTGCAATTATAATAGATGTGCTTATGTAAATATAAGTGTTTGTAAATGGTGTTAATAAGTATAGAGAGCAGCATTATGTTTCAATTATGTAAATTAATTTGCCTTATTTAGCTGAGTGGCAAATTACTGTATAAAGTAGTTAGGATTGCAGTAACACTTGTAGTGATCATTGTATTTGTAGTAGTTATGTTTGTACTTACCATAGCTTCTTGTCAGTTTTGGATTTGTTGTAGTGGTAGGTAGTTGCAGTAGTTGTAGTAGTGGTTGTAGTCATAGTAGTTGTAGTCATAGTCATAGTAGTAGTATTTAGCTGCAATAGAAATATATGTAATTGCATATTAGTAGACAATTACTGTTATTACTATTTTAGCAACCGCGTTCTACAATATATTCAGTACTTGTATTTTTACACAGTTACGTAACTTCTTTTGCACCTTGAGTGACTATTTCAACATAACAATACTTTTAATTGCTTTTGAGTTCTTCTTTTTCCCAGTTTTTCTCTTTCTCTCATCCCTCGCCTCCTCTCCTCACCTCTCCTCCACCTCTGTTGAAACTCTGCTTTGTATTCCCAGTGCTGGATCTCATTTTGCACTGAGTGAGTGACACACGGCAGCTTGCACAACTCCAGCAGAAATCTTGGCGCTGGCTCAGAGCACTGGCGCGTCTCTCTCCGTTCTTCTTATCTCCCCTTTGATTACAGCTGCCGAATTCATTTTCTTTGTGCTATCTCACCATGTGCATCTCTTGAGTGATTATGCTGCCTAAGTGAATAAGCCCAACACGGGACTAGCTTTTTATTGTACCGTATGCGTGTGACAGAGGACTTTTTTGGAGTTGTCAGCATAAATGAGACAATGGATGTGTCTGACTGGACTGAAAAGATGCCGGAGAAGATTTAACTTGTCAAAGATGAGGAAAGGCTTTGTAGGAATGACCTTAGATTTAGCTTGTTGTAGTGAGTTGTTTAAAATCCCAAGTGTGCAGTTTTGTTTATCTCAATAGATAAGCATTTTTTTATCCCACTCAAATCTGTGTCATTCAAGTTCATTTCAAAGCTTTCACCATGCATGCACCCAAGAGCATAATGTTGAAAAGTGTGTGTACTGTGTAACTTTTCTGATGGAGTGTCATCTGATTGTCTGGAGTGGAATGGAGCTGTTATTGCTTTGCCTGGAATGTTCATTAAGATCAACATGGCCAGGTCAGATCTGTGGAGAGACGGCCCTTTTGTCTTTCAAGGTATTTTTGAGCTATGAGATTAGATATGAAGGATAGAGAGGGTTAATGCCATACCATGGAATATTCCAGCCCATTCCTGAGTCACCTGGGTGGAGTTTGCATTGTTCTCCCCGTATCTGGGTGGGTTTCCTCTAGGCACCCCGGTTTCCCCCATCAACCCAAAGCAGCATAGATACAATTCTCCAGCAAAGATAGTCTTGACCAAGCTTAGCAACAAAAGCACGAAGATGGGTCCCTGAACACCCATCCCCAACGACAGTAAAGCATGGGTCAAATGCAGAGGACAAATTTCTCTATGGGGACAAGAAAGTATACCTTAACCTTCAGTTATTGTAGTTATAACTGCATGATTGTCAAAGCATAACCAGAAAAAAGGTATGGACTTCACGTAAGTCAGTAATTTTTTGTCCTTTGTGTTTTCAAGCCATTAGATGAAATCAGTGATTCTAAAGTCGAATTATTTTTTAATTATTGTTCTTACCAGCACTTGCTCACCATTATGAAAAATAACAACTAAACAGCCACTTAATGGAATTTTGGCCTTTTGCTCTCTTACCCAAAAGCTTGTCCAGTACTTAGATATGTGTCATCCTTTTTGGGCCAAACAAGTGGGGCAGCGGTCATGACATCAGCGTGAGCCATGCCAACACAAACACATGTGAGAGCTTGTTTAATATTCCTCCTCTTTCATTCCCGTTTTCAAGGCCTCCGACTCTGACTGTGTGTACTCCAGGCTAGCCAAAGCAAGAGCACAAAAGCTGACAGTTTGTGGCAGTACATTCGTTAATTAGGGTTTATTTTCTTCACAGCGCTTGTCATTGGGGCTGCGAGGTATCTTTCAACATAATATTACAGTTCTGCTTCAAAACTCAAGCTGTCTCATTCTGCAAAAACAACTTAACATACTATATATAGAACTAGACCCATTTTTGACTTGTTCTTTCACTTTTGGAGTCACCACTGTATATCATGTGTCTTCTTGTGGGGAGTAATTGGCTCACGTGTGGCTGCTGAATGTGTTAAAGGTCCTATATTACACAAAGTTCACTCTTGTGAGCTTTAAGTCATGTTAGAATGTTGTTACCTCATCAAAAGCATACCTGGAGTTGTGTTTTTCTGGTTAATCCTTTATTATTAGGCTGTCTACATCTCAAAAATGCTCTGATCCACCCTGTGATGTCATGTAGTGGTAGTTTTCAAGTTAACAGCTACATTTTACCTTTAGTTTAGAGATAGAGGCAATTCCAGGGCTGAAATTATCCAAATGATTCTATTGAAAGTGTATGGCATGTTTTCCGTTTGAGAGAGAACTCAGCCTAAATACACAGGATTTGTGTGTTAAACATGTGTGAATGAAACAAAACACAACTCCAAGTATGTTTATGATAAGGAAACATCTTTACAACATAGATCAGAAAATAGCGACAAATATAGACCCTTGTAAAAGAAACAGACATTCGAACATGAAAATCTCATCCAATCCTTCAAATTAAAACATAAATGTACTTTTTGAATACAGGGATACACGTGAAATTGCCTTTTCTTATATTCTATATTCTATACCACTCTCCTTTTCCCAGCAATAAGTGTCTGTATATTTTTTGTAGTAAATTGCGTAGCCCTGACCTGATGCGGTATTTATGGTTTGAGCTCTGCAGTAGGAAGTGGTCCGTTTTGCCTCGGAGAAGTCATTGGCCTTGCACTGGGCTCCAGCTGTTTTACTGTACAGTGTCAACAGCCCTGTCGTCACAGCGGAGATCTGCCTGAGAACAGACTGCACTAGGAGCAGAGGGCAGAGGAGAGGGGCTGTGCAAGGGTCGTCATCTTTGGCACAAATACTACAAGTTCTTGTAGTAATGGGAGTAGTGGTTAAATACATATGCTACTGTCACAGGATGGAGATAGGGGAGGAAGTAAATAGAGATAGACTGATATATCAGTTGCTGCTTAAAAAATACACAAAGCTTTAAATTAATACTTACAAATACGATGGGAGATGCACAAAATGTGACAACACTGCGGTCTGTTGTGGTAAAAAGGGGCCTTTGTAGTGAATTTAACTGACATAATTTGGGGAAAATAATCAAAATTGGTCCTATACATCAGCCCAAATGTATCGGCAGAGCTTATCGACCACTGGTTGCTGTGTACTTTAAACTATTGATATTGGTATTTCAAATACATGCAGGAGCCTGTAGAGAAGACTGAATCTGAACTTAATTAATTAATACAAGAATTAATTAACTTAATCAACTTATGAACTTAAATTATTACAAGAATTTCTGAACATATTTGTTGAGGTCTAAATTAGAGAGAGGTTCTAAACCTAAAAAAAGGGTTGTTTTTTTTGTCGGGACAGGATGTCCTATTTTACCTAGCATCAAAAAGCCCAGCCCCTCTGCTCCTACTCTTCACCTCCACTCTTAACCCCATTCACGTCTCCTTTTATTATTATTATCTTATTTCTAGTCTGGACAGTAGATGGCACCAAAAATACAGGTAAGCCGCTAGTGTCAGCTGTGCTCATTTCATTAGGCCCAGGTACGTAGGCATGCAAACCAAACCCAGGACTGCAAAGGGAAAACACAGAGATGCTACTGGTGAGTAAAGGCCACCACACACTACAGGAGAACTTGCCTAGTTTTGGCTGTGATTTGCTTCTCTGCGAATTCGGGGAGGCCTGACCCGACTTTTTGTCCCTGTGTGCAATTTTTGAGCTGCTGCGCTCCTCGTGTGTGGTGGCAACGTGACTCTGAGCTGCTCTGTCATATGATAACC